GGAGTATTTTTTGTGTTTTCCTGTGGCCTTTACTGCAGTTTTTAGTTGTGTTGTATCGTCGTCACCTGCTCAGTGAGCTTCATAATATTATTGTTAACAGTTTATTTGAACCCCTAATCCTCTAACTTCAGCCATGAGTCACGGTAAACGCCACAGTCGGCTGTGGAATACGGCTAAAAATAAACCTGGCCCCTAGGGGGTGCTGTTTGCCTCCAAAGGCTCTGACAAAAATGTTAATTAACCTCTAAACAATTAAAACTATATATATATATATATAACTTTTAATCACAATCAACTACGTCGTTGAACAACGATAAACGACTGATACTCAAAAGTAGTGTATTGCGTACGTTGTGTATTTAAACAGTACTTGCTACAACAACATCTGTTTTGCAAAACTTTGGAAACAATTCAGCTGTTTTAGAATACGTGGTTTGCACTGGGTTGATGAGATACTTCAACAGTGTGTACTGGGTTGAAGAGATACTTCAATGTTGTATACTGGGCTGAAGAAATACTTCAGTGTTGTGTACTGGATTGAAGAGATACTTCAATGTTGTATACTGGGCTGAAGAAATACGTACTTCAGTGTTGTGTACTGGGTTGAAGAGATACTACAGTGGTGTATACTGGGTTGAAGAGATACTTCAACAGTGTGTACTGGGTTGATGAGATACTGCAACAGTGTGTACTGGGTTGAAGAAATACTTCAATGGCGTGTAGTAGGTTGAAGAAATACTTCAATGGTGTGTAGTAGGTTGAAGAGGTACTTCTATGGTGTGTACGGGGTTGAAGAGATACTTCAATGTTGTATACTGGGCTGAAGAAATACTTCAGTATTGTGTACTGGATTGAAGGGATACTTCAGGGGTGTGTACTGGGTTGAAGAGATACTTCAACAGTGTGCACTGGGTTGAAGAGATACTCCAATGGTGTGTAGTAGGTTGAAGAGGTACTTCTATGGTGTGTACGGGGTTGAAGAGATACTTTAATGTTGTGTACTGGGTTAAAGAGATACTTTAATGTTGTGTACTGGGTTAAAGAGATACTTTAATGTTGTGTACTGGGCTGAAGAAATACGTACTTCAGTGGTGTATACTGGGCTGAAGAGCTATTTTAGTGATACGTAGTGGGTTTAAGAGATACTTCGTCGATGTGTACTGGGTTGATGAGATACTTCAACGGAGTGTACTGAGTGTACTGGGAGGAGTAGATACTTGGGTAGGTTGTACTGGGCTGAAGATAAACCGCAGCCCTAAAGTAAGTGATTACGCTGGTGTGGACACATGACGACTCCAGTATCAGGTCAGTACTGTGTCTGTGTTTGAAAAGAGTAAAGTACGGAGAAACTGAAAGTATTTGGTTGACCGTGTGGGCAGATTGTCGTGTGATGTGATGTGTTCACTCACAGCCGAGGCCACGTCTACGTACAAAGGGCACCTGGTGTCAAGACCAACTCGCCTGATCCTGATTAGAGTTCACCTGATTACAAAGTGATTTGAGTACAAGTATTTGTTTTTTTTCTGTATACTCATCTGTGTTTTCACTGTTGCTGATACTCACTGTTACCTAGTGAGTATCAGCGCGTTTGAATAAGCAAAAGAAGTCAATATTTGTTGAACAAGTCTGAACAACTTGGTGACTTAGTAAACAGCAGAGGTGGGACCAGGTCATTGCTTTGCAAGTCACGAGCAAGTCCCAAGTCTTTGCACTCAAGTCCGAGTCAAGTCTCAAGTCAAGACAGGCAGAGTCCGAGTCGAGTTCCAAGTCAAGACTGAAAAGTGTCAAGTCAAGTCCCAAGTCTTGCGGTTTCTGTTTTCGAGTCCTTTTCGAGTCCTTTTAAAGAAAATATAATAATATATTTACACAGATCACTGCCGCTCGTTTTTTTGTTGACCACCTCGTAGTTTTTCAAATCTGAACAACACCATCTTTGGTATCGTTTTCTCTCACCCGCGCGTTGTTCGCCATGTCTTCCACATCGGTTGTCCCGCAATTTGATTGGCCAACGTTTTATTTGATTGGATGTTGTGCCGACAGCACACACGTACACAATGAGAGATACACAGCACTCCTCAATAACTTACTTTATAATCTTCGGGTTTGGGAGAAAGTATCAAGTCTTGTCGAGTCAAAGGGCTCGAGTCCAAGTGAAGTCACGAGTCATTGATGTTAGAGTCCAAGTCGAGCTGCAATGCCCTTTACATTTGGTCAAGTCGAGTCAAAAAAGTCATCAAATTGATGACTCGAGTCTGACTCGAGTCCAAGTCATGAGACTCGGGTCCACACCTCTCGAGTCCAAGTCGAGTTCCAAGTCTCTTTACATTTGGTCAAGTCGAGTCAAAAAAGTGTCAAGTCAAGTCCCAAGTCCTGCCGTTTCTGTTTCGAGTCCTTTCGAGTCCTTTTCGAGTCCTTCCACTCACTGCCACTCCTTTTTTGTTGACCATCTTGTAGTTTTTAAAGCCGAACAACACGATCTTTGGTCTCATTTTCTCTAACCCGCGCATTGTTCAACAGCTCTTTCTCATTGGTTGTCCCGCAATTTGATTGGCTCGATGCTATCGCGTCAAAACAACGCGATGACAGATACAGAGCGCTCCTCAATAACTTACTTTATAATCTTCGGGTTTGGGAGAAAGTATCAAGTCTTGTCGAGTCAAAGGGCTCGAGTCCAAGTGAAGTCACGAGTCATTGATGTTAGAGTCCAAGTCGAGCTGCAATGCCCTTTACATTTGGTCAAGTCGAGTCAAAAAAGTGTCAAGTCAAGTCCCAAGTCCTGCCGTTTCTGTTTCGAGTCCTTTCGAGTCCTTTTCGAGTCCTTCCACTCACTGCCACTCCTTTTTTGTTGACCATCTCGTAGTTTTTAAACCCGAACAACACGATCTTTGGTCTCATTTTCTCTAACCCGCGCATTGTTCAACAGCTCTTTCTCATCGGTTGTCCCGCAATTTGATTGGCTCGATGCTATCGCGTCAAAACAACGCGATGACAGATACAGAGCGCTCCTCAATAACTTACTTTATAATCTTCGGGTTTGGGAGAAAGTATCAAGTCTTGTCGAGTCAAAGGGCTCGAGTCCAAGTGAAGTCACGAGTCATTGATGTTAAAGTCCAAGTCGAGTTCCAAGTCTCTTTACATTTGGTCAAGTCGAGTCTAAAGTCATCAAATTGATGACTCGAGTCTGACTCGAGTCCAAGTCATGAGACTCGAGTCCACACCTCTGGTAAACTGTCCAGCGGGGGGGGGGGCGTTAAACTGAGTATTCAGATCTAAGGCTGGTCTGCAGTTGTTTTATTAAATGGTTCCGATCCGATGGATCAGTTTGTTATGTTTTTACTGATGAAAAAAAGAAGAGACTGAGGATAAAACAAAGACGGTTGAACCTGGACGGTTGTTCAGAATGTCAGAGGTCAAAAGGTCGAACGAAAGGGTGCCGAGGTAAGTCCGTGGATTCTGGTTCTGATCCAGATCCAGGTTCTCGACACAGGTCGCGACCCCTCAAAGGTAACGTTCCTGGTTGACTGTCTCCCCTGTGACCTTTACCCGCAAACCTGCTACGTCGCTGTCGCAATTTGGTCCAAATACTTTGCCACTGACTTATCTCGCTCTTCTTGTTACCTGTCAATCACACCCACAGTTTCTCTAGGTCGTTTAAGTTCAAGTGAAAGATCGGATTACAAAAAACCCACGGATGTATTCATTCATATGAATTCACAGGAAAGGGAAGGGGTGGGAGATAAGGGGGAGGGGGGAGGGGTTTCCACAGTGTATTGAAGATGGTTGAAGATGATTGAAAGGTGTGACTGGCTGTTTGTTCCCCCCCCCCCCCCCCCCCCCCCCTGCCTCTACACGTGTCTCACCCATTTGTTGTATCCGAAACTCAGACACGACCAACTCTCAGACCACAAATTATTTCGAGTCTGACCTCACAACCCAAGAACTCAGAGTGTGCAGATCCCGATGATGTAACGTCGCCCCTGTCCACTGCACCCAGCTCCGACTCCCACGCCCTTCGGCTCAGGCATGAAAACAGATGAGTCATCATAGTGCCTCAACATTAAGTTGTATGTGGTCATGTCAGGTCATAGTGTAGCCTCATTTCCTGACTACATATATATATACATATATACACATACATACATGAATATATACATATACATATATATGTTGCAATCACAAAAGAACTCGGTCTCGGTTAATTTACCACTTTGTATTTGACCTTAGCTGACCTTTGACCTCCCACTACAGTACATCTTACTGGTTGAAAATAATGAAAAAAAAAGCACTTCAATCTGTTCTGGAGGTTCAGAGGGAAAAACACAGCAGATTTTAACCAAGAGTCTGTTTGTTGGATTTTAAAAAAAAAAAAAAAAAAATTCCAATTTTTTTTCAACGTGTTGCTATTTAGTTTGTTTGTTAAAATCCCAACACGTTTCTCTTTCATCGACGTGTTGCTCTTTGAATCTGAAGTGAGGACCAAGACGGAGTGTGAACACTTCACCAGTTCATCATTTATTTCGTTTGTTTGTGAAAATCCCAACACGTTTCTCTTTCATCGGGCACATTTATACAGTACACAGTTCATCAGTGGTGCGCTGTACCTTTAAGAGTTCAAGTTCCTCATCCACCTGCCACTTTTTTTTTAAAAACTCTCTTTTTTTTTTTTCTTTTTCTTCTCAGTTTTTAAGAACGTGGAACACAACTGTGAGCGCAACAACGTGAACCACCACACCAGTGATGTCACGGTCAAGGAGCTGCTCGTGAGGCGGGGCCAACCCTTCACTCTGAACCTCGAGCTGTCCAAGCCCTTCACCCCTGACCGCCATCCGCTGACGATCAGTGGACTGACAGGTCAGTCTCCGGTTTAAAAACAAAATTGTATCGTGAACGATATCCTACGACGCAGCCTAACTCATATCGCGAGTCGTCGTAACATTCAAACACAAACCGCGACCGCTGTGTGACACTCGATCTGCACCTGGGAAAGTCAGCTGCTCAGGCCAGGATTCAAACCCGCAGTCGTTCCAATCACAGCCCCATCCTCTAGGTGTAAACCATAGGTCCGTGATGCTCCACCTCCCTCCTCTCTACAGGCTCAAATCCCTCCAAGGACCTGGGGACATCCTTCGTCTTACGTATTCCACCAAACCAATCATTATTATCGAAGGTAATGTGGAAGGTCAAACTGAAGAAGAAATCCTCCTCAGCGAAGGGAGACCTGCGCCTGAAGATTACCCCGCCAGCAAATGCCCCAATAGGGGAGTACATACTGACGGTGTCACACCGGGGCGAGGAGACCTTGCTGGCGATGCCGGTGGTGCTGTTCAACCCCTGGTGTCCCGGTAAGTCAGTCCGTCGGTTTCACAGTTCATATGTGAAGAAAATACAAAAAAAAAAGTTCCGGTTTCTAACCTTTGACCTCCGACGCTGTTCATCCGTCTGTAAAGACGACACCGTGTTTCTCCCTGACGAGGAGAAACGGCAGGAGTACGTGATGAACGAGCAGGGAATCATCTACAAAGGAAGTGGAAACTACATCACGCCCATGGACTGGAACTTTGGACAGGTACCACAAACTGGTCTGGTGCTGAAGGGAAGTGGGAATTGATAACAGTTGTAACTCAATAACTGCTGTTGTTTTAATCACAATATGTTCCTGTCAGTTTGAGCCTGACATGGTGAAGATCTGCATGAAGATTCTGGATATGAACAACAACCACGGCGAAGACCCCGCTAAAGATGTTTCCTCGCGCTGTGATCCCATCTACGTGGGCCGCGTGGTCAGCGCCATGGTATGACGACGACGACGACGACGACGATGACGATGATTAAAAAGACAAAAGACGTCAATCATATCAACATATTCAAATTACAGACGTGACAATACACTTAACACACGATATATGATTTTCGCAATTCTTCTGGTGTTTCTACGATACCATTTCATCGCTATTTTATGCACGTCACCATTTTTCTTGTCTTATTAAATGAGAAACTGATCTGGTCTTTATTTACGTCACTAACTAGTAATATCCATGTTTCATCGCTATTTTCTGCACATCACCATTTTTCTCGTCTTATTAAAGGAGAATCTGGTCTTCATTTACGTCACTAACTAGTAATATCCATCCATCCATCCATTTTCATCCGCTTATCCGTTACCGGGTCGCGGGGGCAGAAGTCGCCACCCAAATCACATTGCACCGTACCAAACCTTCCTGCAGGTGGTGAGGACACTGGAAGGTACCAACCGCCCTAACTGAGATTCGAACTTGCCCAGGAGGTGAACCCTGGGGTTCCACACCAATGACAGAGACATTGTCTGTGGGCCAAAATGCCACTTGAAAAACTTTTAGAAAAAAAATATTTTTGAAAAAATTTTAGAAACAAATTTTTTTTCAAAAAGAAATTTTTTGAAAACATTTTAGAAATTATTTTTTTGAAAAAAATTTTTTTGAAAAAATTTGAGAAACAAATTTTTTTTTTAAAAAAATTTTAGAAACAAATTTTAGAAAAAAAAAATTTTTTGAAAAAATTTTAGAAAAAAAAAATTTTTGAACAAATTTCCATCCTTCTATTTTCATCTGCTTATCCATTACCGGGTCGCAGGGGCAGCAGTCTCCACCCAAATCACACTGCACCGTACTGGTCCACTGGAAGGTACCATCTGCCCTAACCGGGATTCGATCTTGCCCAGGAGGTGAACTCTGGGGTTCCACACCAATGACAGAGACATTGCCTCTGGGCCAAAGCGCCACTAACTAGTAATATATTCAAAAAAAATATATATATATGTACCGGATTTTTAACCGATCCCGATGCATCCCTAATTTACCGACATGGGTCGTGTACAATCGGTGCATCAATCTCATCCTCTAACCCTCTTCCCAGGGTGTTCCTCTGAGGTCTATTCCAGGTTCAACTTCACCTTAAAAATCTTGACATGACAACATTGTCCTTTTATATGCTGATGACACCATTCTGTACACACTCCTTCCTGCAACCCAGCCTCCAACACACCAGAAAACCTAAGGATGGTCTTGTTTTGTGAGAACACGGGTTCTACACCGTGATGGTTTGTTTCAGTCGGAGGTTTGTAGTTCCATTCGACAAATATAAAAAAATATATAACCCTCTGTTCTATCTGTCAAACTCAGATTAACAGTGAGGACGACCACGGTGTTCTGATGGGAAGGTGGGGAGGTTCGTATGCCGGTGGATTCCGTCCCTCTCACTGGAACGGAAGCCACGCCATCTTGAAGAGCTGGTTTAACATTGACTGCCATCCGGTCAAATACGGCCAGTGCTGGGTGTTCGCTGGCGTGATGTGTTCAGGTGATGTGGGGAAACTGTGGGAAAATATCATTACGCCATTCAGTATTTGGACAAATAAGGATGAACTGCCGTGCCAAAAGTCAACTAAGGGATGTTACTCAGCAAACGTGATCTGCCAGGCCGAACAGCAAACGCCCTGTTGGAAACAAAACCAACATTCTTAAACATAAAGTATTCGATTCTGTGATGCGTTCAGGAAGTCTGAATATGTTGTTTTGTCTGTCTTTGTTCCAGTTATGCGTCTGCTGGGCATCCCCTGTCGTGTGGTCACCAACTTCAACTCGGCCCACGACACCAATAAGAACCTGGTCATCGACATGTACCATGCTGACTATGGTGTTGCTCCCAAAGATTCACGGGACAGTGTTTGGTGAGACTCTTTTAGTCATTCGAATTTGATGTTTCCTTAACCAGGGTACACTCTCTTTGCGAGTGGTAACAGCCTCCAGTATGTTTCCTTAACCAGGGTACACCTTGTTCTTGTCCAAACGTCAGTTTCAGTGAGAACCACATTCTCTTTGCGAGTGGTAACAGCCTCCAGTGGTAACAGACCAATGGTACGGTTGTTCAGGAAACGTAAAAATGTTGAAGGGGTATAACGGAATATGAGTGTTATGGTGTGGCAGGGTTGAAGTCGATGGAGATGAGATACTACAAGATGAAGGTTCTCCAGACCCCTGCCTGGAGTTCTCCAATTCTCTGCTACTGCTGTTGATGATCTGGTCTGAAAACTAGTATTTATTTAATGATAACAATTTGTCTTTAGTGGCCATTACAACAGGGAACAGGGGGGAACCATTAAATACTACTTCCACTGGGTGGCAGTAAATGGCTAAAGACTAAAGAGGAAGAGCTTTCTGTTTGTCTTTATTCTATTCCTGGGAGTATCTCAGTGTTGTGTTCATCTAAACAGGCATAGCTAGAACAGCGTTGTCAACTCATTTCCACCAGGGGGCCACATCAGCAATACAGTTCCCCTTGAAGGGCCGGTTATAAATGGAAGACTGTATAGATCAGGGGTCCCCAACCCCCGGTCCGCGGACCAGTACTGGTCCATAGGTAATTTGGTACCGGGCCACAGTTGAACACAGTGAAAAAAATGTACTTAATTTTTACTAATTTACTTCAAAATGTAATGATCCTTCATTGCTCAGCACCTTGGTATCTCGGTCTGTAGTAACAAGTGGTACTGGCTGACCAGTCCTTGGAACAAAAAAAGATTGGGGACCGCTGGTATAGAAGTAACTACTCCATAACAGACTAATGCATAAAAGAATAACTTTTAATTTCTCAGGTTAAGAAACTCTGCGTCATGGAGTTACTAAATGCTTTTCAAGCTCCAGTTTGACATGTGTGGTCTAGAAGATTATTATATGTCGTCACACCTTTTTTCTTTGGTGGTGCACCATGGCACGGACGTGTAGGTGTGTCTGTTTTTCACACTGAACTAAACTGATAAACACTCTTCATCAGCTGTTGCCAAAACTCTTAGGCCTGGTGAAGTGCCGGTGATCATCAATCAAGTGGTGGCAGCGTGTGGTTTATGGTTGTTGGTTTTAAAACTTGTTTAGGTGTGGTGAGAATTTATCAGGACTAAGCTCCGGTGTGGACGCCCGTCTCTTTTCTCTGTGGTTTCTCCAGTAGCCCAGATTTGCAAAGGCATTTCAGAATCATGTGAAGAATCTGTTTCTTCTGTTCACAAAATGCTCCGTTAATTTTTAGGAATTTTCATGTGTGGGTGGAGGGGTGGATGAAACGTCCCGACCTGGCAGAAGATGGGAAATATGACGGCTGGCAAGTTTTGGATCCAACACCCCAAGAGATGAGTGATGGTAATTATCCTGAAAGAATGTAGCTTTTCCCTGAGCTGAGAACCTCTAACTAGTTTTCACCGGAGCAAACAAACTTTTTTTAAAAAAACACTGTAAATCCTAATCACAAAAGCAGTTTTAAAGTAGGCAACTGGCAGAGGTGTGGACTCGAGTCTCATGACTTGGACTCGAGTCAGACTCGAGTCATCAATTTGATGACTTTAGACTCGACTTGACCAAATGTAAAGAGACTTGGAACTCGACTTGGACTAACATCAATGACTCGTGACTTCACTTGGACTCAAGCCCTTTGACTCGACAAGACTTGATACTTTCTCCAAAACCCAAAGATTATAAAGTAAGTTATTGAGGAGCGCTGTGTATCTCTCATTGTGTACGTATGTGCTGTCGGCACAACATCCAATCAAATAAAACGTCAAATTGCGGGACAACCAATGAGAAAGAGCTGTCGAACAATGCGCGGGTTAGAGAAAATGAGACCAAAGATCGTGTTGTTCGGGTTTAAAAACTACGAGATGGTCAACAAAAAAGGAGTGGCAGTGAGTGGAAGGACTCGAAAGGACTCGAAACAGAAACGGCAGGACTTGGGACTTGACTTGACACTTTTTAATCTTGACTTGGATTCGACTCGGACTTTGCCTATTTTGACCTGAGACTTGATTCGGACTTGAGTGCAAAGACTTGAGACTTGCTTGTGACTTGCAAAGCAATGACTTGGTCCCACCTCTGGCAACTGGACTCACCTCAAGTAAGTTAAAGACGTTTCACCTCTCATCCAAGAGGCTTCTTCAGTTTTTTCTTTTACTTTTCTGGTGGGTATAATATATATATACAGTATAATCACAACACAAACCAATTATATAATTTGGACAAGTTTGGCGGGCCCAATTACAAAGCCGAACGGGCAGCATGCGGCCCCTGGGCCTTAGTTTGCCCAAAAAGTCCTGGTGATAAGTCAAAGCCACTTTCTGCCATATATTGTACTTAATTCTTTAGTCCCCACTCCCTTCACTCCCACCCTTTAGGACAGCCTTGGTTAAGTTTGTTTCTCCACAGTGCCCTCCTATGGTGGACATGACTATTGTCGCACACAGAGCTTTTGCTTTAAATCTCTCGACGAACTTGATTTTCTAGCAAATGCTAAAGCAGAATGGGACATCCTCCTTCCGGGCTGCAACTTACTGTGATATCTTTAAAGTATCAATACTCCTGGGTATATACTTAGTTATATATAGATTTACATTTACATTTATGTAAATGTTTGAGGTCAGTCATTTTAACTAAATGGCTGCTTTTATAAATATTCCAAACTATTCATAAACACTGACCCTGGGGGTCGCACACCCCCTACTGAAGAACTCTGGGTTCTAGGTAATTGGGTTTAGGTAATTGATAATAAGCAATGACTCATTAATAATAATTTGTCTGTTTGTCTTTGACTAGGTCTTTACTGCTGTGGTCCGGCCCCAGTTAAAGCCATATTGATGGGGGACGTTGACCTTGAATATGACGTCCCATTTGTCTTCGCTGAGGTCAACGCAGACTGTATCGACTGGCTGGTCAGTGGGCAGATAACGTCATGATCATCGCTCGCAGAGGCAGGTCAAAAGGCCCTGCAGCTGGTGTGTATAAAAACAACATCAACCACGTCCCTTCCTGTCCTAGATCAAAGCCGATGGCACGAAAATGAAGATCTACTCCGATACCGAGAGGGTGGGTCAGAACATCTCCACCAAGTCTGTGGGCTCCAACAAGAGGAGGAACATCACCGACTGCTACAAGCACAGAGAGGGTGGGTGTGGTTAGCTGCTCCTTCTGTAGCAGCAGCAGCAGAAGACAGACTTTTTTTTTTAAGAAAAATGTACGTAGATTTTCACCAAGGCTGCAGAGCCACATAGCTAGGTTAGCTACAACATTAGCCAAAAAAAATATTAAAAAAAAATAACGGACACGAGTTCTAAAGCGGCTGCTGTGTTCACAGGGTCGGACAGAGAGAGAGACGTCTACAAATATGCTCTGACCAGAGACTTCACCAGAGAAGAGGAGGACGATTTGGTGGGGGTAGAGGAAGGGGAAGAGGCGGAGGAGAGCATGGAAGCGGGAGGGGCGGAGGAGAGGAACTCAAATTTGAACGTCAACGCTGAGAGCACCGGGGGTGGAGGAACAGATGTGGTCACTCCTGGCGTCCCTCCTCCACCTCCCCCTCCACCTCCACCTCCACCTCCACCCGTCTACATGCGTTTTGAGGAGGTGCAGTATAAAATACACCTTTACAATGAACATTAATGAACTGAATCCATTTACATACATCTAAACTCGAAGCAGCTGCTGTTAGTAAACCTACAACGGTTGGTCGCGCGACTTCACAAATGTTTCCCAGGTGTCTAAGCCAATAAACGGAAAGGATGTAGACCTGAAGCTGGTGCTTAACAGCAAGAGCACCGAACCCAGGCGGCTCTCCATCGTTGTCAGTGCCCAGGTGATGAACTACAACGGCTCATCGGCGGTGAACATCATGATGGAGGAGAAGGAGGAGACGGTGCCGGTTGGCAAAGGTTACCATTCTTCACCCTGGGGGGTGGGACGGGGGACTCTGTTTGTGGCCACCTTGTATCTCAAACACCTCCTTCTCTTCGTCTGTGCTCCTGCTCCTCCTCCTCCTCCTATAGATCTTTCCTTACCTATCCTGATCCCATTCTCAACCTACCACAAGTACATGATGGACGGCGACAACATCAAGATCTCAGCTGTGGTGACGGACATGGAGAATCCGGTGAACATCTACCTGGCTGAGGACAACGTCGTTCTCCAGGAACCGCCTCTCGCCATCGTCGCGGTAACTCCCTGTCACTGTCTCTGTGTCAAAACGACCCGCAGTAGTCCCAGCTGCTACAGAGGGGTTCAGTAGAAGACTTGGTTAACGGAGCGCTGTAGCGCTGCCGTGTGACGGTGTTTGTCTGACTGTCGGGGTCTGTTACAGGTTTCCACTGAGCTCAGTGTGAACAAGAAGGCAGAGGCTGTGGTGATTTTCAAGAACCCGGTGAAGGAGGAGCTGCAAGAGTGCATGCTGTCCCTGTCAGGGAGTGGGTTGCTGAAGGACGAGGTGGTCCACAAGTAAGTCTCTAAACAGTACTCGCAAATAAAAGTAAATAAGATAATCCTTGGGCACAAAAATGTTTTTTTACCTCCCTCTCGCCCTCTCACCTACACCCCCATAAATTGAAATACTATCGAGAACCTGATAACATGTATATTTCCATCTGTACAAACCACTGAATGAGTTGCTGCCACCTAGTGACTGGAGGCTTGTTATCATTCAAGCATTACAACAGTGGTACACTTATATCCAGCGTGCTATATTCCATTGGAAGCCCCTCATGCCCAACCTCCCCCCTTGCCCCCCCTGTGGGGCTTGCCCCACTATTTGAGAAGTACTGTGGTACACCAAGATGCAAGACTCCCAGTATGACGTCGAGTCCGCATTGTCAACTCATCCCATTTCCCATAACGATGGACATGAGGACAG